GTATCTGGCAACACACAGAAAAAAACACCTTTTTATCAAAGGGCCATAACTCGGCCAAAAATCATTCAACCAGAAAACCCGTGCAATATGCGCAAGGACTTGAGCTACAGATCAATCCTGTAAAGTTTCATTGAAATTGCATTAGTGGTATAAGAGAAGTAGTCCGGACAAACTTTAAAATTAAAAATTTTTAAAGGGCCATAACTCTGACAAAAATCATTGAACCGGAAAATGCTGACAATGTGCACAACTAGACTTGGTACTGATCATTCCTGTAAAGTTTGGATGAAATTGCACCAGTAGTTTATGAAGAGTAGTCCGGACAAGTTTTATGACGGACGGACGGACAGACGGACACAGACAGACGGACACAGACAGACGGACGACGGAGAAGTGATCCCTATATGTCGCCACTACTCCGTAGAGGCGACACAAAAATGATTATCAATTAAGTATATTACCTGTAAAAAATTTTGGCACAGATTCTGTGCGGAATTGGAACAGAAATGGCATTCAATTAGTGAATTCTAGGCTACCATGGACAGAAATGAAATTCCATGTCATTTCTTCTCACAAGGAAAATATTTCACATAAAAGTCACCCAAGGCATAATTCTACTCTTTGTTTTTTTTCTAACTTGAAACAGACATTGAAATCTATATGTTTTTATTGGTTTGGGTCGTCAGACCAAACAAATAATGGTAGCGAAATTTCAGACCCTAATGCTGTTAAGGTAGACCATGGGTAATGGGCACCATAAGGAACTGTAAAATTGACAACATAGGACAGTTAAATGTCTTCAAGGTCACCTGTATGCAAAATTTAAATAAAATTTACCGTGTGGTTTATGAGTTATGGATATATTTCTGAACTAAGACTTTGCCATTAGAAGGGCTTATTTTCAGAAATGAGGAAACTGTAAATAATCTGTAATATAATCATTATAAAAAATGTTTTCTATTGCTCATTGTTAAGAAACAAATAATAACATTTAGGTAACACATTACACAAGCAAAATGTTTGTTTCTAAACAAAATGTTCTTAATACGTATAAAAATGTTACCCTACCCCACCCACTTTTAACACTTATTTTACCATTTCCCTATCTAAAATGCCTTATTCAAAATGTCCCTAAAATTTATCGAAATGAGGGTCTGTTTTCAAAGTTTGTCTAAATTTTCTCAAAGGTATATTAGTTGACCATGCGAAATATAAAATACTTTTACCGTGTAGTTTTTATTTTATCGAACTTTGAAAATATCTGGTATCATATTTGCTATAAATTTTGGCATTATTTAGCAAAAAAAATACCTAAAATAATTATATAATTTAAATCAAACTTTTTTTCTTCCATAAGGGATCAGAGAGATACATAAATAATGTTAAAAAGAAAAAAAGAAAGAAAAAAAAAGTTGCCCCTTCTGGGGTTTGAACCCACGCCCCTCAATTTCAATGTAGTTTACAAGCGATTCTAGCCTATTTGAATACTCTTCAAAGTGGAAGTAAGGCATTACCCATGGTCTACCTTAATTGCAAATGCCGAACAAGAAGAATCACCTTGGACAAGAAGATATACAACAAAATCAGGTAAATACCTTTGAGCTACATTTATGCAGATACAGGTTATATATTAAACAATCAAAGTAAGATGGCAACAAACTAAAATTTGTAACTTGAGAGATCAAGGCTGTTTTTATTTCTAAGCTTCATACATTAGATTTACTAATATTTGTAATTGATTTAAATCTAGATTTAATAGTCAAATTAATTGAATTATTAGGACTAAATAGTACAATCAGTAGTTTTATGCAGCTGTATAAGACAGGGTCATCATAATCATTTATCATTTTATTGTTGTTTTCAATGGAGAAATCTGATATTACATTTTACATACATTGCAGGCTAGTGGGACCAGTTCTTACTTTGAGATGCCAGGTGAATGAATATGCAGTATTGAGCCTGAAAAGGTATATTTTTTAATCTCTATACTTACTGCTCTTAATCTTTCCCAGAAAAAAAGCATAATAAATGTTGTTGCAAATAGTGCAGTTAATCAATTCTTATAGAGACTTTTAGCAATTCTTTAACAACACTGGTGACTTGTGCACTAAAATGAGATACTGTGTAATTAAGTATATTTGTATATGCATAAGCATAAATAGCTAATATAGTTTGATGATATAACAAGAACTGTCGGAGGACAGTAACGCTCGACTATTCGAAAATTTGTCACAAGGGTGTTTCATTGAGTATAATAATGCTTACCTATATGAATACATAAAATTGTCCGAAAAGGTACAAACCCTTCAAGTTTCAATACATTCCCTTCAGTAGTTATGGAGATACAAGCTTACACACAAAAACTTAACCAAGAATTTATGAATCGAAAAAGGGGCATAATTATGTAAACAAGCAATTATCATAGTATTGCAAGCAATCCATAAGTCCCCTACCGGTAAGAGCCCAAGCAACATTCTGAAGGGCCATTGGCCATTCACCTAGGTTCCTATTTTAAGTAAATTTGTTGAAAAAGTTCTTTAAAAGTGATCACAGGAAACAGTTTTTATGTACAGACAGACGGACTGAAGGACACTCTAAAGTTATCTTTTAAACATCCCTGTTATCAAAATATAACATTTTTAAAATCCTATCATGATTGAAGAAGTTGGAGTAAAAATTACCAATTTCTCAAAAAAAAGTCTAAGTTCAAAAGGGGCATAATTCTGGAAATAGTCTTGCTAGAGTATTGAACACTCACAAATGTTGAGTGATAATAAGAAACATTTATATGAAGTTTGAAGTAGATACATTCAGAAAAAGAAGTTATTAAAAAAAACAATGTTTTTTCATGAAAATTTTAAGTTCAAGGGAGGTAATTCTGATAAATTTTGTGCTAGAGTTGTAAACCTTGTCACATATGATGTGGTTGATGACAAGCAATTTATATTTAAAGTTTGAAGAAAATACCTTTAGAAATAAAGAACTTATAGTGAAAAAAACTTAAAAACTAGAATCAGAAATCTTGAAATTCAGTCTATTTGTTGCCATAGCAACCAGAATTTTCAACATAGGAAGATAAGAAAAGAATGTGCATAATTTCTATACTGTCATCTACCCATATGTCAAGTTTCATAGACATATTTTCAGTACTTTTTGTGTTATCACTGGATCCAGGTTATGTGTAAAATTTGCCATATTTTCAGTCTATTTGTTGCCATAGCAACCAGAATTTTCAACATAGGAAGGAAAGAAAAAGACGTGCATAATCTCCATACTGCCATCTATCCATATGTCAAGTTTCATAAAAATATTTTCAGTACTTTTTGCGTTATCACAGGATCCAGGTTATGTGTAAAATTTGCCATATTTTCAGTCTATTTGTTGCCATAGCAACCAGAATTTTCAACATAGGAAGAAAAGAAAAAGACGTGCATAATCTCCATACTGCCATCTATCCATATATCAAGTTTCATTAAAATATTTTCATTACTTTTTGCGTTATCGCGGGATCCAGTTTTGTGGACGGACGGACTGACGGACGGACAGACGGACTGACGGACGGACAGACGGACGGAGGGTAAACCTAAAGTCCCCTCCGGTAAACCGGTAGGGGACTAAAAAGCAAATCAGAGTTATGGGACTTGTGCCAATCATCTTAGATAATCACAGAGAACAAGTGTGTGAAGTTTCAATCCATTCCCTTCAGTAGTTATGGAGATACCAGCTTACACGCAAAAACTTAACCAAGAATTTCTTAGTCAAAAAAGGGGCATAATTATGCAAAAAAGCTAATCAGCGTTATGGGACTTGTGCCAATCATCTTAGATAATCACAGAGACCAAGTGTGTGAAGTTTCAATCCATTCCCTTCAGTAGTTATGGAGATACCAGCTTACACGCAAAAACGTAACCAAGAATTTCTAAGTCGAAGAAGGGGCATAATTATGTAAAAAAGCAAATCAGAGTTATGGGACTTGTGCCAATCATCTTAGATAATCACAGAGAACAAGTGTGTGAAGTTTCAATCCATTCCCTTCAGTAGTTATGGAGATACCAGCTTACACGCAAAAACTTAACCAAGAATTTCTAAGTCGAAAAAGGAGCATAATTATGTAAAAAAGCAAATCAGAGTTATGGGACTTGTGCCAATCATCTTAGATAATCACAGAGAACAAGTGTGTGAAGTTTCAATCCATTCCCTTCAGTAGTTATGGAGATACCAGCTAACATACAAAAACTTAACCACAGGGACGCCGACAAATGGGTGACTGCATAGCTAAAAAATATGAAATATAACTGCATACACAAAAGTACACAACATCTTTTTTAATTAATTATGAATTTTATCTTTAAAGGTGAACACAGCCACATGAAGTTCTCCGAGGAAACAGAATCAGAGGACTGAAAAAGACAGAATCAGAGGACTGAAAAAGACATCAATAAAAGAAATAGTAGTTTAAATAATCAGAAACATTTGAACAAATTTATGATTTATTTATGACAAAAATAACCCCTATATGTCGCCTTTTTCAAGGCGACACAAAAATGAACACAGGGCAATTATTCAAAAATCAGCCAAAGCTGAGTTATGGTTTTTGTTGTTTTTTGTTTTTTTTGAACTGTACTTCTTCTCAATGAGATCTATTTACCTATAAAGTTTCTTGTGGATACCTCTTGTTGTTTCAGAGTTATGTCCCAGACAAGAATAGGCGATGGACATCCTGACGGACAGACAATATATGTCTATATGCCCTCCCATATGCTCTCAATTCGGATATCAATATGTCATAATGGCAGACTGGACACATAGTAGGTAATACTATAGAAGGACAAAATGAAAGATGGACGAACTGACAGATGATGCAAAAACTATGTGCCTCCATACACAATTTTGGTACAAACACATACATGTATCAATACAATTTTATGTAGATCATCCATTAATTTGTTGTAAACACCTTAAAAACTGAGCAACATGTATAAATTTATAAAAATAACAACCTTTCTTGAAATGCTGCCCTAAAATCACCATACTGACTGGTTCCTGGTTTGGCAGAATGGTTCTTAGCAGAACACATAAGAGCACAATCTGTACGCTCATACCTCATGTGTAAGAATGCCTCAGTTTCTATTTGATTTCTGTAAAACAAATTTTATTAATATCAAGTACAAGAAAACACACATATAACAAGATATGTTTGTAAAACATGTATGCCCCCTATTGGAAGCCAATTAGTCATGTGATCAGGTTATTATGCATGACTTGCGACCCAGTGAACAAACAATTAATAAGGGTAATCTAGTATCTACTGGTCATATCTAGTCACAAGGTAATAATTATTGTGACCCCATAGGTTGTGTGCAGCAATTTAAGTTATTACAAATCTTACCAAATAATATAAGCATAACTTTTATGAATCATGTAGGCCTCATTAATGACAGCCAAGTTGTTATATTACAGAAGACCTTCAAATGTGTAAAAAGCATTTTTAGTTTGATATAAAAAAAATATCCAAAGCAACTTGAGTTGTTGAGTTATTGGTCAGAAACCGTCATTAAGTACAAGGTATATAGTAAAAACTTTAAAAAATCTTCCCTAAAGAGCTAGAGCTTAGAGATTTATCATGAAACATCTTCTAATTGGTGTCTACCAAGTTTGTTTAAATCAAAGCCCCTTGTTTAAAATTAGCCTTGGCCCTGGGGCCTATATACAGGTGAGCAATTTCAGGGCCATTAAGGCCCTCTTGTTTGGAAGTGTATGTACTCATTATAGTAACAAAAATAATGAGCGGAAAGCATTCTAACATTAATGTCCCCCATGACCTTAACCTTTGACCCTAAAATCAATAGGGGTGATTTACTTGTCATGACCAATCAATATGTTAAATATGAAGACTTTGTGATAAATACTAACCAAGATGATAAGTTGACTTCAAACTACCATTCTAGACCCCTGTGACCTTGATCTTTGACCTAGTGACCCCAAAATCAATAAGGGTCATCTACTAGTTATGACCAATCAATATGTTACATATGAAGACTTTGTGATCAATACTAACCAAGATAATAAGTTGACTTCAAACTACCATTCTAGGCCCCTGTATCCTTGATGTTTGACCTAGTGACCCCAAAATCAATAAGGGTCATCTACTAATTATGACCAATCACTATGTGAAATATAAAAACTTTGTGATGAATACTTTTCAAGATAAGCAGCGGAAACCATTATAACATTTAAGGCCCCTGTGACCTTGACCTTTGACCTAGTGACTCCAAAATCAATAGGGGTCATCTACTATTTATGACCAATCACTATGTGAAATATGAAGACTTTGTGATAAATAGCTTTCAAGATAATTAGCGGAAACCATGTGGTCTACAGATGGACAGACCGACAAACAGACCGACGGACAGACATTAGCAAAGCATTATACCCCCTCTTCTTGGAAAGGGGGCATAACAAGAGGGTCCTGATGGCCCTAAGGCGCTCACCAGAAACAACTGCTTTTCAGTAAAAGATAAAAGACTACCTAAGAATAGTACAGACAAAGTTTGGTGATTATCAAGCCATTAGTTCTGTAGAAACAGACGTTTAAAGATATTTCTATTTTTAGTTTAAGCGGCCCCTCAAAGGGGCCAATCAAATTAATATGAGCAAACTTGATAAAAGACTACCTAAGAATGCTACAGACAAAGTTTGGTGATCATCCATCGATTATTTCAGTAGGAGATGATGTTCAAAGGTTTTTCTATTTTTAGCTTTAGCAGCCCTTAAAAGGGGCAAATCAAATTAATATAAAACAATACCTAAAAATGCTATACACAAAGTTTGGTGATAATCCATCATTTATTTCAGTAGGAGATGATGTTCAAAGTTTTCATTCTTTTTTTAAGCTTTATTGGCCCCTAAAATCAAATTATTATGATCAAACTTGATAAAAGGCTACCTTAAAATGCTACTGACAAAGTTTGGTGATCATCCATCAATTAGTGTGGTAGGAGATGATGTTCAAAGGTTCTTTATTTCTAGCTTCAGTGGCCCATAAAAGGGGCCAATCAAATTGTTAGAAACAAACTTGATACAACACTTACTAAGAATGCAACAGACAAAATTTGGTGATCATCCAATCCATCAATTATTTCAGTAGGAGATGATGTTCAAAGGTCAGTGTCTATTCTAGGATTCGAAAAACAGGGGGGATTTTTATCGAAAAGTGAGAATTTAATACATTTGTTGATCTTTTTCCTTCTTTGTCTATGTAAAATTTTCCCCCTTCCTCTCAAAAAATAGGGATGAATTCTCAAAAATAGGGGTGATGCCCCCCAGCGCCCCTCCTAGAATAGACACTGAAAGGTTTTTCTATTTTTAGCTTTAGGAACCCCTTCAAGGGGCCTGTCAAATAAATATGAGCAAAACACTATCTTAGAATGCTACGGACAAAATTTAGTGATCATCAATCAATAAGTTCTGTAGAAGGGGATGTTTAAAGGTATTTCTACTTTAAGCTTTAGAGGCCCATATAAGGGGCAAATCAAATTAATATGAGAAAACTTGATAAAACACAACCTAAGAATGCTACAGACAAAATTTGGTGATATCCATCAATTATTTCAGTAGATGATGTTCGAAGGTTTTTTTATTTTTATCTTTAGCAGCCCCTAAAAGGGGCCAATCAAATAAATATGAGCAAACTTGATCAAACACTACCTAAGAATGCTACAGACAAATTTGGTGATCATCCATCAATTAGTTCTGTAGAAGGTATTTCTATTTTTAGTTTTAGCGGCCCTTAAAAGGGGCCACTCAAATTAATATGAGCAAACTTGATAAAAGACTACTTAAGAATGCTACAGACAAAGTGTTATGATGATCAATCAATTAGTTCTGTAGAAGATGTCTAAAGGTTTTACTATTTTTAGCTCTAGAACTCCCTAAAAGGGGCCAATCAAATAAATATCAGCAAACTTGATCAAACACTACCTAAGAATGCTACAGACAAAATTTGGTGATCATCCATCAATTAGTCCTGTAGAAGGTATTTCTATTTTTAGTTTTAGCGGCCCTTAAAAGGGGCCACTCAAATTAAAATGAGCAAACTTGACTACCTAAGAATGCTACAGACAAAGTTTGATGATGATCAATCAATTAGTTCTGTAGAAGATGTCTAAAGGTTTTTCTATTTTTAGCTCTAGAACTCCCTAAAAGGGGCCAATCAAATTTGATACAAGACTACCTAAGAATGCTACAGACAAATTTTGGTGATCATCCATCATTTAATTTAGTAGTAGAAAATGTTTAAAGGTTTTTCTATTTTTAGCTCTGTTGACCCGTAAAAAGGGCCAATTGAAATGGCATGAGCAAATTAAAGTGTGACTGTCACAAGGATGCTACAGAACAAATTCGAGGTAAATCTGCCCATTAGTTTCAGAGAGATGATTGTTGATGCATGATGCCGGAAGCCGGAGTATCCCCCTTTCATACTAATAGCTCACCCTGAACCTTCGGTTCTGGTGAGCTAAATACATACCTGAATCAGTGAAAAATCTGCGTGTACAGTACCCGAAAGTCACGTGATTTGGTCACATTATTAAAGGGTTCATAATGGACACAAATTGGGGACCAGGTGCAGTATATGCTGAAATTCTTTCTGGCGTATAAAAATATTACAACTAGAAATGTGTCCATAGGACACAGGTGCCCCCACCGCGCCACTGTTCTGTCAATCTTATGACTCAAGTTCAAATATTTTTTGAAAACTAAAAATCTTTTACTAAGTAAAGGGCAAGAACTTTACAAATACTGAATAAATCCACATGCATAAGTACACATGCTGACCAACATTCTTGTAAACTTTCAGGCCTACAAGTGAAATACTTTTTGAGCTATGCATGAACAAGTTGAAAATTGCAAATTTATACTACTGTAAGTCAAAGGCAATAACTCTAACAAAACTGAAAAAAATCCACATGCAATGTCCCAGGTGCATAGCTTCACAGTAATGTGAATCATTCTTCCTGTAATTTAGTGATGTTGATCAATATTCCTGTAAAGTTAGTTGATTCTAACTCAAGCACTCAAGAGCAAATAATAACAATGAAATGGTTGTAAGTCAAGGGAAATTATATAACTCTACAAATACTGGATAAATCCACAAGCGAAACCCCAGGTGCAAAACTAAATATGCTGAGCAACCTTCCTGTAAGGTTTAATGACTCTATGTCAAATCCTTTTTGAGTTACATGCTACACAAGTTGAAAATTGCAAACATTTTCCAAGTCAAGGGCAATAACTCAAAAAACTACACATGCTGATCAATATTCCTGTAAAGTTTCATGACTAGGTCAAATACTTTTTGAGTTACATGCGACACAATTTGAAAATTGCAAAATTTTACTAAGTCAAGGGCAATAACTCTAAAAATACTAAATAAATCCAGACAAAAATACCCAGGTGCACAACTACATATGCTGATCAACATTCCTGTAAAGTTTCATGACTCAAGGTCAAATACTTTTTGCGTTACGTGTGACACAAAAGAGAACGGACGGACGGAAGGACGGACGTTCTCACAGGACAGTAATTATGTGGCTACTCTATTGTTCTCTCTATTGTTCTTTTTAGCCACACAAAAGAAAATAGCCACATAAAAGCATTACGGAATGAATGACATCAAAGAGAAAGAACAGTTACCTATTGTAACATAGCCACATAATTACTCTCCTGTGAGTGCGGACGGACAAACGGACGGACGGACAAGGGTAAATCTAAATGCCCGCCACTAAAGTGGGGGCACAAAAATATCAAATAAAACAAGAATTTGTAACAGAGTTACCAACATCCCACGTCTCAGGGAAGTTTTATATGAAGCATAAAATTGTGCTATTTCAAAAGATTCATGTATGGATCTCAGGACTTTCAGTCCAAAATTATGATCAATGCTAGATCTGCAAATGCAACAATAAAGTTATGATACAAATGATGTTAAGCTTTGACCTCTAAGTGTGACTTTGACCTTGGAGGTAGGGATGCAGGTGATTACATATTGGGTTATTATTACTATTTGTGCCAAGTATTTTCAAAATTCCTTGAACTATGAAGAAGTTATAGATCGGACACAAAAAATACCCTTTAATAGACTATGTTAATCTTTGACCTCTAAGTGTGACCTTGGAGGTAGGGACCCATGTTTTGTGTCTGACATATCGTCTTATTATTGTGATTATTTGTGCAAAGTATCTTTAATTTCCCATGATCTATGAAAAAGTTAATAAAAAATATACCATATAACTGACCTCTAAATGTGACCTTGACCTTGAAGGTAGGGGTGCAGGTGTTGTACTTGACATATCGTTTTATTATTGTGACTATTTGTGCCTAGTTATTTCAAAATCCCAAAGAAGTTCTAGAACAGACACAAAATATACCCTAAAACAGACTATGTTAACTTTTAACCTCTAAGTGTGACCTTGATCTTGGAGGTAGGGATGCAGAAGTTGCGCATGACACATCGTCTTATTATAGTGACTATTTGTGGCAAGTATTAACAAAATCCTTTGATCTATGAAAAAGTTATGGACCAGACACAAAATATACCCTGTGACAGACTACATTAAACTTTGACCTTCAATTGTGACCTTGACCTTGGAGGTAGGTGACCGGTTGTTGCGCATAACACATCGTCTAATTATTGTGAACAATTGTGGCAAGTATTTACAATACCCCTTCACAGATAAGAAAGTTATGGGCTGGACACAACATATACCCTCGAATAGACATTATTGACCTTGGATGAGCAAGTGTGACCTTGACCCTGGAGGTAGGGGTCTGGTTGTTGCACATGATACATTGTCTTATTATAACAAACATTTGTGCCAAGTTATTTCAGATTCTTTGGATAAATGACAAATTAATGGACCGGACACGAAAGCGTGACGAAGGGACGAACGTATGGACGGAAAGACAGACTATATACCCTTTTTCCTGAGAAAAGGCAGGGGACAATCAGCCATTTGTTTCTTATTTAAATATCATAGAAGATAATATCATGAAATATATACTAAATTGAAATATAATTTTAATTAACTTTTAATAGTTTAGAAACACTGGAATGAAAATTAATTACTCACTCTTCAAAACCTTGATTTAACAGCTCTTGTTTACACTGAGTTGAAAGCTGGCTTATCCTTTCATTCAAATATTTCAGATTTTCTACAAATATAAAACACTATTTGCCATCATTATATCTGTTTGATAAAATACTAAAATTATAAGATCTGACATCTTCAAAACTGACAAAATAGTTTATTTCAAATCTTAATAACATTTGGTCCATGTTATGCAAGTTTTCCAGATGTATGTGTATCTTATTTCTCATGACATTTTAATCATTCATATAGTAAAACCATATAATTCATTGTGTTGCACACAATAATTTATAGTTGTCACAAAAAACTCAGCAGTAGAAAATGCAGTTCTTTTTTCTGTTTTTATTATACATGTACAAATAAAAATTTACGTTTTCAGTTCCTTACACTGAAAACTTCTTGATATAAAGTACTGAAAAGCTTTGCTTGTCACCACCTTTTCATGTTAACTAAAGACTTCAGGCTAAAATAAATTTTTTCTTCATAAGAATTCTTAGAGCAACATGCCCCAGATGACTAGAAAAATTATCATAATATTGCAAGCAATACATAAGTCCCCTACCGGTTAGAACCCTAGCAACATTTTAAAGGGCCATTGGCCATTCAATTATGTCATTGAATGAATGAATGACATGAATGAATTTAAATCTTTTGAGTTCTTAGTTTGTCTGTATCATAGTGTCAGAATAATCATGAAGTTTATATGTAGATATATACAGTAGAACTTCGGTAAGTTGAATTTGAAGGGACTTGCGTAAAAACTTCGACACATCGGGACTTCGACTCATGAATTGCTCTCAATTCCATGACAAAATTTCGACCCGTGACTAGTTCTAATTAGAAGATCTATAACGAAACCTATTTCATGTTTTTTCCATCATTAATCTGATATTTTACATTTTACAATGATAAATATAGCATGTTAAATAACTTTTTTTCACGGCTAATTATTTGGACTAGAATCTACCCGTTGACGTATACAATAGAGTTACAAAAGGTGTAACAATACGAAAGGGCGATAACTAAACCAGCTTATAGTAAATATTTCGCGTGTTGTTCTCACGCGACAATGGGTTACCGATGTTTTCAAATGAAAGTAGTTCTTACTGTTTACTTTCAAATACCGCTACGGCAATTAAAATAGAAACAATTAAAGCAATTTATCACACATTTTTCCGCAAACAAAGACTGTTTGAACACACGGCTGTGTATTTAACACCTGCCACACAAGTTGATTGAAAATCGTCTTCGCAGCCAGATAAGGTGTGAAAAATGTCTTGAGATTGAAGGTGTCAAAATAATCAAACGACTTCGACTTATTTGTGGTAAATTGCACTAGATTTACTTGATACGGACCACGAAAAAACGTCGACACATCGAAAAATTCGACACATAAAATCTCGACTCATAAATAGGTTTTCATAAGGAATATATAGGGGAAAAAATCGGGACTTTCATTTTTCTTCGACACATCAAGAAAATCGACTAATCGAAGTTCGACTCATAGAAGTTCTACTGTATATATTTTACAACGAGTTAATATTTCCTTACAGTGGTGCATTGTTTTAGATCAACATTTATTACTAAATCTTTCCTTAGATTAAATAACATCAAGGCAGTCATTCTCCTGACACATAGTAATGTGTTAAGTGACCGTTTCTGCCTAGTAAGGAAATCATTTCACAGATAATCAGATTCTTGTCAGTAACAATATTCCAAAAAATGTTTACCTATTCACTCAGTTATGGACAGAAAAAATGCCAAAATATGGTTCTTGTGCACTGCACTTCATCTCACTGCCCTGGCCATTGTATAAAGTTTCATTAAATTCCAACCATGATTGATCAAGTTATGCTCTGGACAAGAAAAAAGCAATGGAAAAGTAACAAAAGGCAATAATTCATAATTAAGAGTTATGGCACTTGTGCACTGCACTTCCTCTTATTGTGCTTGATGATTGTATGAAGTTGTATTGAATTCCAACCAGTAGTTATGCTCCGGACAAAGAAAAGTAACAAAGGGCAATAAATCTGTAATAAGTCAAGCTGGAGTTATGGTTCTTGTGCACTGCACTTCCTCTTATTGTGCTTGACCATTGTATGAAGTTGTTTTTAATTCCAACCTGTAGTTTTCAAGTTATGCACTGGACAAGGAAAAATAACAAAGGAAACTGCAGGGAAATGTACTTGATCATAGTATGAAGTTATATTGAATTCCAACCAATAGTCGGGACAAAAGAAAGCAATGGAAAAGTAACAAAGGGCAATAACTCTGTTATTACTATAGATAGAGTTATGGTTCTTGTTCACTGCATCACTCAGGCAAAAATCCTTGAACCATGACTAAATTCACACTTGACCTGTGCATTCCTTTGACATATCTATATATTAAATTTGAGTTGAATATGTACAACTGTTGGGTGGATAATGAACAGAAACTGAAAATTTCATCAAGGGGCATAACTCTGTTAAAAATCATCGGACCATGACCAAATTGAGACTTGACCTGTATTTTCTCATGATATATCCATATGTCAAATTTGAGTTGAATGTCAGCAACGGTTACTTAGATAAAGAACGGAAACTGATGATGATGGAATGACAGAATGACGGAAGAATAGAATGACAGAATGACGGAACAGGGTAACACTATATGCCCCAGCCATTTTATGGCGGGGGCATAAAAATAAAAATCTTACTTAGTACAGGGCAAAAACTTTACAAATACTGAATAAATCCACAAGCAAAGCCTGCATAAGTGCAAATGCTGACCAACATTCTTGTAAACATTCAGGCTTACAGGTCAAATACTTTTTTAGCTATGCATGAAGAAGTTAAATATTGCAAATTTATACCAAGTCAATGGCAATTACTCTAAAAACAAGAATTTGTAACAGAGTTACCAATGTCCCCCGCCTCGGGGAAGTTTTATATGAAGCATAAAATTGTGCTATTTCAAAAGATTGAGGTATGGATTTCAGGACTTTCAGTCCAAAATTATGATCAATGCTAGATCTGCAAATGCAACAATAAATTTATTAAAGAAATACTAGTCAAATGAAACATGGAATTTAAAATTCTATCATGTTAAACTTTGACCTCTAAGTGTGACCTTGACCTTGGAGGTAGGGGTGCAGGTGTTGTGCATGACATCATCATATTAATTTTACTATTTGTGCCAAGTATTTTCAAAATCCCTTGAACTATGTAGAAGTTATAGATCAGACACAAAATATACCCTATAACAGACTATGTCAATCTTTGACCTCTAAGTGTGACCTTGGAGGTAGGGACACATGTGTTACGCATGACATATCATCTTATCATTGTGACTATTTGTGCCAAGTTTTTTAAAATCCCTTTATCTATGAAGAAGGTAAAGACAGGACACAAAATAAACCATATAACTGCCTCTGTTAACCTTTGACCTTTAAGTGTGATCTTGACCTTGGAGGTAGGGGTGCAGGTGTTGTACCTCACATATTGTCTTATTATTGTGACTATTTGTGCCTAGTTATTTTAAAATCCTGAAGAAGTTCTAGATCAGACACAAAATATACCCTAAAACAGACTATGTTAACTTTTGACCTCTAAGTGTGACCTTGAACTTGGAGGTAGGGATGCAGGTGTTGGGCATGACACATTGTCTTATTATAGTGACTATTTGTGGCAAGTATTTACAAAATCCTTTGATTTTTGAAAAAGTTATGGACCAGACACAAAATATACCCTGTAATAGACTATGTGAATCTTTGACCTCCAAGTGTGACCGGTTGTTGCGCATGACACATCGTCTCATTATTGTGATCAATTGTGGCAAGTATTTACAAAATCCCTTCAAAAATAATAAAGTCATGGACCGGACACGACATATACCATCAAATAGACAATGTTGACCTTTAATGAGCAAGTGCAACCTTGACCTTGGAGGTAGGGGTCTGGTTGTTGCGTATGATTATTATAACAAACATTTGTGCCAAGTTATTTCAGATTCCTTTTATAAATGAAAAAGTTATGGACCGGACACAAAATATACCCTGTAATAGACTATGTTAATCTTTGACCTCCAAGTGTGACCTTGACCTTAGAGGTAGGTGACCTGTTGTTGCACATGACACATCGTCTTATTATAACAAACATTTGTGCCAAGTTATTTCAGATTCCTTTGTTGAATGAAAAAGTTATGGACTGGACACAAAATATACCCTTTCATAGGCTATGTTAATCTTTGACCTCCAAGTGTGACCTTGGCGGTAGGTGACCGGTTGTTGCACATGACACATCGTCTCATTATTGTTAACAATTGTGGCAAGTATTTACAAAATCCCTTCAAAGATAAAAAAGTTATGGACCAGACATGACATATACCATCAAATAGACAATGTTGACCTTGAATGAGCAAGTGCGACCTTGACCCTGGAGGTAGGGGTCTGGTTGTTGTGCATGACACATCGTCCTCTTATAACAAACATTTGTACTAAGTTTTTTCAGATTCCTTTGATAAATGACAAAGTGTTGGACCGGACACAAAAGTTTGACGGATGTACCAACTTTTGATATTTCAGAGGCAAATCAGCTCATAAACTACACCTGGACGTAAGTCCATAAGCTGAATTTAGCTCATAAAAACAAAAAATAGCTAACAATATGAATTTTATGAGCTTTTGTTCTTTTATTAAGACGGATGGAGCCTATTACTATATCCCCCTTTTTTCTTCGAAAAGGCGGGGGACAAAAAACTGAAAACAATAACCGGTTGAACCGGGTGATGTTCCCCGAGAAGGTTTTGGACACAGGAAAGTATAAAAAAATTAATAAGGGCAAAAACTCCAAAATTAAGCAAGGCAAAGTTATGTTTTTTTGCACTGCACTCCTATTTAATGAGATCTATCTATCTATAAAGTTATGTGATGATATCTCTTATAGTTTCAGAGTCATGTCCTGGGTAAAATTCAAAGTGTAAAATGAACAAAGGGCAATAACTCTAAAATAAGACAAGGCTGTGTTTCATTTCTTTAGCATTGCAGCTCTATCTAATGAGATCTATCTACCTTAAAAGTTTCAT